TACTACTAATTAATTCTCTACTATTGTTTTATTTCTAATAGGTTTCTATTACTATTTCACAATTAACTCCTATTGTCAACTTATTCCTGCCACATGTACTATGCTATTATATTGTTAATAGTTTTCCGATAAGGTTCCTGCAATTACAACCTCCTACTATGAATCATCTCCTACTACCATGAATTATCTCTGCTATTGTTTTATTGTTAATAGCCTACAACTTGGTTTTAGCTAATCAATACAGGTAACACAACAAAATTCATCACTACCTGCAACTTCAAAAATTAACAATAACATCATCACAATAATATAATAATTGTCCCTGCTAAAGCATATTGACTCTGTCATCTATTAATCCTACCTGCTATATATGCCAATCTACACTTTGTTTACTTCGGTAACTAACAAATAGTCTATGCTATTATTTTTTTTGCTAACTCTACTACATAACAATTCTGTAACTAATTTAATAAAGTAACAGACACAGGAAACAGACAACACAAACAAAGGAAAAATAGAGGTTTATGGGTGTGCCCCTCGTCACCAACTGTGCCCCTCGGAACAAAGCTAAAAGGGTGTGCCGCTCATCATGGAGTTGTTCCGCTCGGAACACTCCTCTCCAAAGCACGTCGTTCGGCATGCTCGTGTGCCCCTCGGCACATAGTGTTTCTCACTTCACAAGCTTACTGATTCCAACACAGAATTCTCCAAATCTTCCTTCGATTAAAAATATTTTCACAATAACATGATGCAACATAGTATTACATTGATATAGCAACATAACAACTATATCAGCAATATTATAATTTCCAACAACAGATAGTTAATTATGCGAAGATTCCAGGAACATCCATAACTTGATAACAACATGATAACAACCAATTTCAGAAACAGCAACAACAACATACACACAACAACATTACACCAACCCAAATTCATACGTACTATTCACCATAATTCCCATTATAGAGTCAGAACCCCACCCTTACCTCATATTGAAGGTCGCTCTATAATTTCCGATCAAACCTAGCTTTGCCTCTTTTCCTTGTTCCTCTTCTCTGTCACTTCCTACGTTACCGCTCCAAGACTTTTTTAACCTTTCTAATTAACCTAATTTCTTATTATTATAACTAATCCTAATAATAATATTATTATTCCTAATCGGCTCAACTTACACACCCTCACCTTAGTACATACCACCACATAAATAATCCCAACAACTTAATCTTATATTATTCTAATATTATTGCTTAATATTAATCAACTAAAATAATCAACTAAATAACAACTTAGCAACATATAATAACGTTTCACACCTTTCAACAAATAATTCAAAAATAATTTAATTAAATAATTAATTAAATTATCGGACGTTATAACCTGTGAGTCTAAGGTAGATTGTAGCCCAACAGAATGGTGAATCAGGCTTAGATTCAGGTGGAGTACATGATTCAGATGGAGTACAAGATTATATGCTTGTGCTTGATAGAGAGCCCATTCTTATTACACCTCCAGTGAGATATGGGTTTGAAGACTTAGAAACATATGCTCTTCTTACTAGTTCAATAGACCCTTCTATCTTTCGAGAGACTATGGTTAACCATGAGAAAGATAAGTGGTTAAGTGTTATAGTGGAAGAAATGAAGTCCTCGAAAAATAATGAGACATGAGATCTTGTTTAGCCAACACAGGAAAAGAGAGTTATTGGTTGCAAGTGAGTGTATAATAAAGATCCAGTAGTAACAGAAAAAGAAGGGGAAACTTTCAAGACTCGCCTAGTTGCAAAGGGGTATTCACAATAGAAGGAGATTGTTATGATGAGATTTTAAGTTTGATGGTTAGACACACTTCTATCAGAGCATTATTAACCCCAGTAGCCAGCAAGAATATGCATTTAGAGTAGATGGATGTGAAAACAACTTTCCTCTATGGTAATCTAGAGGAGCAAATCTACATGAAGCAACCAGAGAGATTTCATGATAGTGAACAAGGCATACTTGTTCGCAAATTGAAGAGGTCTTTGTATGGCTTGAAGCAGTCTATAAGGCATTGGTACAAGCACTTTGATTCATACATGTTCTACATTGGCTATGGAAGGCGTGGTTATGATTTCTATGTTTATGTGAGAATCCTTGATGATGACTATTTTATCTTCTTGTTATTTTATGTTGATGATATGTTGATTAATGCCAACCATTTGCATGATGTAAATGAGTTAAATACCAAGTTGGGTAAGGAGTTTAATATGAAGAATCTGAGTGAAGCGAAGAATATTCTTAGGATGTAAATTTATATAGATAGAGGAGCTAATAAATTATGTTTGCCTCAGAAAACCTATGTTAAAGGTGTTTTGAGCATATTTGAAATGAGAAAAGCAAAGTGTGTGAGTACTCCATTAGCTAACCATTTTAAGCTCTCTTTGGAACAATGTCCGAAGATAGACTCAGATATTAAAGGTATGTCTAATATTCCTTATGCTAGTGTAATTTGTTATTTGATGTATGATATGGTTTGCACTAGATCGGATTTGGCACAACCAGTTAACCCAAGTGAGCAAGTTCGTGGTATCATGTTTAGCATGGAGCATCGTGTTCCATTAGTTATAGAATATGTGCGTTCTGAATATGCATGTGATTTAGATGATATGAGGTCTACAATAATGTATTTTTTTACTCTTGCGGGGGACCTATATGTTGGAAATCATCAGTTCAATCTATAGTAGCTATGTCTACAACTGAGGCAGAATACATGACAGTAGCTGAAGTTGCAAAGGAAGCATTGTGGTTTATAGAGTTAATGAAAGAGTTGGGTGTTGACAAGGTGGATTTCAGTTGCATTGTAATAGTCAGAGTGTTGTCTATTTGACTAACAATCAGGTGTATCATGCTAGGATCAAGCATATTTATGTGAGTTTCTAAAAGATCAAGGAGTTGTTGGAATTTAGACAGATATTACTTCAGAAGGTTCACATTTCAGAGAATGTAGTTAATATGTTGACCAAGCCATTCACCAGTGACACGTTCAAACACTTTTTGAACTTGTTACATGTTTCTTAGTGTTAAGCAGAAGGTGTGCTTCCCTAGTTTCTAGGATGAATCGTTATCCATAAAGGCTTCATAGGGGTTTGATATTCGTCAATGTGGAGATTGTTGAGTATGTCTCATATTGTTGAGATAATTATGGATTGTTGAGATGACTATGGATTGTTGAGAGTATAACTCGTATTGTTGAGATAATTATGGATTATTGAAATAACTATAGGTTATTGAGAGTATAACTCATATTGTTAAAATAATTATGGGCAGAGATAATTTTTTGTTGATGGACACTGAGGATAAGGATTTTAGATCAATGTTTTAAATACCAGACCAGTCATTAAACCGGTGAGAATACTGGGTCACTGATTCATTGGTCAAACTACAGGATCACTGGTCGAACCGCATGACAAAACCAAATTAAATCGGATAACTCGTTTGAATAAATCGATCTCTATAATAATTATATATTTATTAAATCAGTCGAATCAAATGACTCGGTGTCTAAAAAATATCACGACACCTACAAAATTTTAAAATTTTAAAATATCTTAATTTCAGATGTTAATTATTTAAATTCAAATTCAAAAATAATCATCACTCAATAAAATAATACAAAATACAAATTTAAATAAATTTTGAATCAAATCTAATTACATAATTACAAGTTGTTCTAAATGAATTTTGAATAAAGTCTAATTATAATTTAATTTCATTTATTTTTTAATTATCAAAATGACATCGTTTTATCCTGAAAAAAAATCATGCATTTAAACCACCAGTTTTATAAAATTATTGGTTCAGCGGTTTTGACTGGTTTTGTTCGATTCCCACCGCTTCAATAGTATATCTACTCCAACATTCAGACCAGATCTCTGCGACCCCTTTGGTTGCCGGTCAGACCGAATGGTTCGATCCGATTTTTAAAATACTATTTTTTAGATAAACTAAAATTTGATATTATATATATGACATGTAAGATTGTACTCCAATACAATTCACAAAACATAAATAAAGGGAACTATAATTATGTAAATTAAATTTTTTGGGTGTTTCTCTCGACTTGAATCTGTATACATGTCACTGTTCTAACAATAATTCTAACAAGAGTTGATATTACATTTAGTATCAACAATGTATACTAGTTCATGGCAGCTTCTCTAACTTCTCACTAATCTATTGTAAGACGAATTCTTAGTATCTCATTGGACTTCAACTCTTGGTTTAGTTTTGTTTTCCACGTGTTCATGATAAATCCTTGCACATTCCATTTCTTCCTTCTACTTTGACATGTGATAACTTATGTGTTGTTCTCTTATCCCATAAATAAACATGTATTACATGTTAGAACTAATCACATTGGATTGAATATCCACTTTGTTATGATAAAGGTTGTGTTCAATAAACTGAGAATGAAACATGTGCCAACATCTCCACAAATTGCAAACACTTCGATAAAGCTACTGGACACATCTGCCTAGAAACAAATTCAAGGTTACATGAAGACTATCATCGAGCATGATCTTGTAGGGGAGTATTAGAAGACATTAGAAGCTCAACAAAAGTACTATCACTTTCTCTTAAATATAATGTTATCATAGAGTTAGTTAAAAGAATCTGTAACTGAATAAGAAATTTCTTCTTTTCTCTAGTATAGAATCAAGCTTGATACAAACTTTGTAGTTAAAACTTTTGAGATTCAATGGAGTCATATTTTGAATTCCAATAAAGTGCAATCACAATCTTAGTAAACAAAATTAGCAAATGATAAATTGATTTATTCCAAGAGAGAGAAAAATAAATACAAGAGATGAAAAATATTAAACCTCCCAATAAATAAATTAAACCAAATAACTTATTAAGCTATGAAACCATATTCACCTATTCATAAGATACAAAAAATTGGAGATTCTAATCAACTCAAGACATAACCACTTTTTTCATCCTCAGCATGGCACTGAGACTTCATATGTATTGAACTTGCACTCTTTCTCTGTTCTCTTCCCACCATTTCCTAGCATCTTCATCTCCAAACCTCTGTCGGCTGCAAATAGAGTTAAAAAACTATCAATACAACGGTTTATGACATGACAATAAACCGCCTGGAGTAACAAACACACACGGGTAGAAATAATCACCGGGCGTGTTTGTTACTATCGGACAGTTATCTTATAGAAATAAGTTATACATAAACATGTTACCTGAATCTGACACGACGAAGCTCCTTGTTTCCATCAGGTAACCGTCTGATAGTAACAAACACACCAGGCTCAACTTGCTCAACCCATTCTGACTCAATTCCAACGGCATTGCTGAAGAAAAGCTCATCTCTAGAAGAGGCTCTTGATGCTTCCATGGATGACCCTGCTTCATGCATTTGTCGGTTGCTACTGCTTCCTTGACTCATTGTGAAACCTGAAGGACTACAGTACTGATTCCTTAGCATTGAATCATTGTTCAACCATGCAGCCACAGGGCTATTTCTTACAGTTTGGTGATGCCTTGGGTCAGAAGACTCTCTTTGCTGTTCAAAGACAACAATGTAATAAGTAAAGATATGTAATAGAATATTGATAACATAAGAATGTAAAATTTGTAGTCTACCTCGTCCTCGGATGGCGGGGGAGTGTTGAGAGCTTGACGATTAAATCTCTGGACATTATATAGCTCCCGGATTCTGTCATAATTCTCTCCCCACCATACTTGAGCTTGCCATTTATCAAACATTTCTCGGCTTCAAATTTAAGCAATAATTATTGTGAGTCATTGTTCCATTTGGATATTAAAGTTTCTCACCAACAACGTTTTCAGAGATATTACACATTAAGGCAAGTCTCAATGTAGGACATGTGTTGGTGTCGTGCACTGATACATGTGGTTACATCTATTTTCTCAAATCATCACCAATGTCGACGTGTCTGTGTTAGTGTTTCATAGAACTAAACTTGTAAAAAAGAATCATAGTTTGTAATAATTTGTTAACATACTTGAATCGAATTCTTTTAAGATCATTTCCACCATCAGGAAGAGAAACAAAGGTAACATCAACCCCCGGCTCCACTTGTGCCACCCACACTTTGTTTCCAATCTCTTCCTCCACCACTACTTGATCCGCTGCCACAACTGCCTCTTGTACTCTAGGACTTTGGTTGCCATTACTGTAATTGACACCTAACTCCCAAGGAGGAGGAGAACCTGAGGTTACACCTCCCATATAAGGGTATCGAACCCCTTCCGAGCTCTCTACAAAGTTTGTCGAAGATCTCAGTCCTTTTCTATAGGAGCCGGATCGTTTGCAGGAAGCACCTGTAAACTTCAGTACTATATCTTTTATCTGCACGTGCAGAAAAAACATTAGATTCTCAAATTAACATTAATGCAATACAAGTTTTAATTATGTACCATAGGTAAAAATATTGTCTAAGAATCGAAATAGAAAAATAAATATGACAACTAATATTGTATCAGCAAGTGGATGTAAACAACATATTCAATAGAAAGCATTTCCTATTTGTAGAAAATTCCAACTATATCAATCCAAATATGAAATGTCAACATATTCAGATATAAATCAGAAACATTTGGTTCAAAATAGTTGCTATAGGTATCAGAAAGAACATCACAATCAAGGTTTCATGCAAAAGTTGCTGACAAGGAATAGCATGAAGATGAGGTGTAGCTAATAAGCATTTACAATGACAACAAAAATTGGATCGTCACTAATATTTGAGTGAAATCCATGTGTATTTTCCTACTTAGCCAATCCTATTCGACAAAAAAAAAAAAAAACATATGAACGACAAGAATTCAAGGACGGACCACATGATGAAACGGATATGGCACATTCCATTCTTTGTTAGACATATTTTCTCAACATTAACAAAATTGATGAATGTGGAACATGTTGTTTCATGATGTCATCATAAATTTCCGACAGTTCATTAAAACATAGATAAATTAAAATTGTATTTGCGTAATTGCATTGTATGTTGACACATAAAAAACACAGACATACGTATTTTTTTCAGAGGTGTCGGTGTCGGTATTATAGATGATCCGGGCTTGTTCTTTCTCTTCATGTGAATTACATTAGGTCAAAAAGGTCCGGAAAACTACTAAACAAGATGGTTCTTTGATTTGCAAGTAAAGAAAGAATAAAGGATTGGAAGCAAGTTGATTGGTTGATGATGATGGTGGTCACATCAGCATAAAAAAAGAAACAATGAAGCAAAGTTCAAAGAAAGGAGAAAAAAAAGTGAACCATCCATCAACAACATAAAGTGTCCAAAACACTAGAACACATTTACGTCATCCTAAAACAAATCAATCCCTGCCTAGATAACTAGTGTACCCGTGTGCGTGACCACTTTTTTATTTCTACTATTCAATTAACACAAATTTAGAAAAGAAGGATTCGTAAGCAATAAAATAATATTATCGTGGAAGGATAAGAAAGCTACATATAACATTGAAGTAGTAAAAGACAAAAGATTCGAAAGCTGGTCCCCACAAATGGAGTAACCTCAAAGAGTTTTTGTATTCATCATGAAGATGGAAAAAGAAGCTGCAAAAGCAAACTTCATTCATAAATGATTCATACATAAAAGAAAGTGAGAAAAACCTGCGCAGTCAGGCTTTTGACGGCTTGTTTACTGCCCGGCGTGCCACTCTGACCGACCTCTTCATCATCCCTATCTTCCGCCGTCTGCTTCCTATTACATGTTATGCATTCAAACATCTTTACTCCTTCACTGCACAATCATCAACAACAATTACAAAAACAACTACCATAATTTTATTTTATATGAAAATTTTTAAAGGAAAAATTAAAGCAGTGCTGCAACAAGGAAAAATATTAATTTTTTTACTTTAAATGGTAATTAAAGTACTAATAAATGATCCTTAGCTTAAAAAATGAAAAGGAAAAGTCATTGAAATTGAATGAGGTTCGGTGTTGCAGAGAAAAATAAAGAAGAATAAAACAGAATCTGAAGAAAAAGAAAGTGAATAATAATAATTAAAAGTCTCATTCATTCTCGTTAGAATAAGAATGAATCAATGATGAAGAATGCTATGTTATATCTATGGCTACTACTATCAATCTATCATACTAGTATATGACTATATGTCATGTATGTAAATGTAATCATGATCATGTATATACTGTAAATTTGTTTGTATATGAAATTGAAAATTAAATAATTAAATAATTAAATAATTAAATAATTAAATAAATATAAAGAGAAAGAAAAAACTAAACAAAGCGTGCATGAGGCTAAGTTTTCTGATTCTGACGACATATATACTCTTCTTCTGATTCTCTATTTTTTTTAATCTTTTCACAATCACAATCAATCACCATTCTCCCAAAAACAAAAGTTGTATAGTGTTGTTAAATATCATTAAATAAATTGCATCATATTATTTATTTAAAAATAAATAAATAAATAAGAAGAAAAAAACAGTAACCAGGAACAACAAGAAACAAAAACATACAGTATTCTACTCCTTCCATAACAGGATGACCGACCTATTTAAAATAAAATAAAATTTAAAATAAATGATTAACTTCAACTTTCAATATATATTTTTTAATTTTATCTTTTAATTAATTAAATTTTTATCATTTTTAATATATAATTAAAAATATTATTATTCTCTCATTTTTCTGAAATAATAATCATAGTGAAAATAATAAAAGAAGAATAGAAAATGACTTTACCAAACTGCAAAAGAATCTTCTTGTTGTTGTTCAGGTTTGTCTCCTCTTGACATCTCTTCCGTATCTCAACTTCATTTTAAGGAGAGGTTTATGTAGAGAATTTGAAACCAGAACAACAATGTGTTTGGTTTTTTCATTTGTTGTTGTTTTTGTCGTTATTTGCATGCTCTGTGGAGATTACCATAACTTGCATAATGCTTGGTTTGCTTGTACAAATTTACATATAAACACAAAAATAAAGTTTATGATACTAGGCGAAAATTTTATAAATGGAATTTTAGAGGTTGAGTGACATGGAAATGGTACTTTAACAGGAGAACAAGGAGAAGAAAGAAAGAAAGAAACACTTTGACACTATATAGAGAGAGAAAGATGAATGAAGGTTGGGGAGACCATATTTTGGTGATTTTAAACGAGAGATTTACGCTTTAAAGAGATGAACATAAATAAATAATTAATGAGTATCAATATGTACTCTTTTTAAATTTTGGTAAGCAAAAATAACTATTTTTTTTATTTATTTGATATTTTATTTTTAATACACTATTCTTTTTTCAAAAACATCGTTACGAGAAACAATCTCTCTAGTATAAAAACAGGAGTGAAGCTGCGTAGGTTACTTCTATCTTAAAAAAATATTAAAAACTATTGATATATGACTTAATCTCTACCAACAATCTTTATTTATATTTATATAAGTCATTCAAATTTATAAATCAATAATTTTTGAAATAAAAAAAAAACAGATATTAAGAAATTAAATATAAAATAATTATTTTAAAAATTGTGTCTTCAATTTTTCAAAAATTTAAAAATTGTAATTTCCAAAAAAAATTATATTTTTCTGAAATGTGCATTTAAATCACAAGTGAGTAAACACAAATGTTTCAAGAGTTTAGTGGGGACTACATAGTGGTGAAGCTAGCAAAATGGCATGTTGTAGTTGGGTTTGATGAGAATGGATGGTTGGGATTCGCTCAGGAGATTATATGTTGTTTGTTTCATGATGTTTTTGTTTTTGTTGAGTTTCTATCATAATCATCGTAATAAAATATGGACACAAACATTGATATACCTAGAAACCTTACTCGTAAGTTTTGTTGTGGGGCCATACAAAATCATGATATCTAATTTGTTTGAAGTACAAGTTCATTTCCAATGAACCTACAAGTTACAATGATACCAAAACATTTATGATACATGATTCTTTCGCATCAAATTTTTTTGTATCTAATTTACTTTTATTTGTTTTTATAAGCATTGATTATAGTAGTTATAATCCCCATTTCATAATTTATTTCTTCATTTTACATAATATTTTTATATTTAATTATCAATTTAAAAAAAATATTATATCAATACAGAAATAAAAAACAAACGGGCAACAAACTGTGCCGCTATTCTTTTTTGAATTGTAAAATCAATTTTCTTAAAAACTATATCCATAGGCTAGGAGAGTTTGGGTTTGTACTCGGTTGTAGAGATTGTCTCATACACTTTTCTGATTTCGATGGCCCAATCTTGAGTGTTGCAAGATCATATATTGAGACACAGTGGGATGTATGGTATGGACTCAGATTTCAATAGAGTTTTAGATGGTCTTAGTGTTGCAATTCTAGATTTTGACCTTAACAATTTTACTAGTAAGGACATCGACCCTCTTAAAGCACAACATATTTTAGCGAGTGTCCTTTTTAGTAAATACATATAATATATTTAGGGTCGGACCAAACCCTTGCCGTAGGGTCTATATATTTATATTTTATAAACTAGTTGGTTATTAATAATTGATAATTTATATCTAATTGATAGAAAGTAATTTTCATGTTTATTCATTCAATTTTCTTTCATTTTACACATTACTATAACTACTTTTATTTATAGTTGTGCATTTATGACTATTTAGTTAGTTAGGTATGTTACATTCATCCCTGCATGAAGATAGTTTATTGACCACATGAAGTTATGCAAATACTGAGATATGATGCTATGATTCTTGCATTATAAGCTACTCTCCTACCACTTCTCCACAAGTTCATGGAGAGGCGAGGGCCACGACTTTGAGCTTGGTGCGAAGCTCCTGAAATGATGTAGTGTCCAAAGGTTTTGTGAGAGTGTCTGTAACTTGCGTTGAGCTTGGGACATGCTAAATCTTCACGAGTTTGTAAATGACACGTTCACAAACAAAGTGAATACCCATGTTGCTCATCCCCTTATGGTATTGCGATGCTTTTCACAAATGTTGCTCATCCAGGATAAATGTCATCTAATAGATAATAACTCATGTTGTATTCAATATCACTAACTGAATAATGGGCCTCAGAAGCTCTCCCTAGCATAACATCATTGAAGACATCAGATTGGTTCAACACATTGATATCGTTATTTGAATCAGTTACCCCAAAGAACGCATGCCAGATCCATAAGTCTTGTGAAGCGATTGTTTCAAGCATAACTATAGGCTTACCATGATCGCCTAGAACATACAGCCCTTTCAAAGCAATAGGGTAATTTTTTCATTCCCAACGCATACAATCAATGCTCCCTAACATACCTAAAAAACCATGTGTCTCCCCCATTTGTGGCAGACGTTCGACATCTTCAACAGTTGACTTTCGTAGATATAGTGGCTTAAATACACTAATAACACCTCTTGTAAACTTATCAACACATATTAGTGTTGTTGTTTCATCAATTCTCAAATAGTCATTTACACTATCAGTAGATGATCCATATGCCGACATACGAATAACTGCATTGCACTTTTGTAGTGGTGAAAGACTTGATCTACCACTTGCATCAATCTTAAGTCGAAAATACTCATCATATTGACCAAGAGCTTCAACGATACGAAGAAATACATGTTTATGCATTTGATATCTTCGACGAAACTGCTCATATGTGTACACCGGTGCTTCTGAAAAATAATCATTGAATAAACACTCATGTCCTTCTTCACGATTCATCTCTATATTCCTTCTTCGGTGTCTAGGCCTACTAGAACTCGTAACTTCTTCTTGTGCTTCACTTTCAAAGTAAAGTCTCACAAGTTTTTTATCTATGCCATCATTCGTGTAATCCGTGAACATTTTTGCAATGTGGGAAGAGTTGAAAATATCCATGTGAAGAGAATTCTAATATTGAATTAAGAGAAGGGTAAGTTGGAAAAGGGTGTGAAGCTTATTACTAATGTTAATAGTATTTATAGGGCTACAAATAACGACTAGTTTGAATAACGGCTAGTTTGAATACTAATAATACATGGGAATATAAAAATAACTAGTGACATACTAAAAATTATTCAACATACATAATCATATTAATTAAGACCATATTCTCCTCTAATCACGTCACACAATAACTCCTGACCTTAAAGTTGTCTTGAATCCATGTATGATATATCTTTTGAATTATATATATATATATATATATATATATATATATATATATATATATATATATATATATATATAAGTATTTGCAAATCATTGATCTTCAATCTTATCATATCTCTCTCAGTCTTATGTTTCTCTGCATCAATGCTTTTCTTCTCTATCTCAACTTTTTAACCCTCAATATGTGCATAATCACGTGCAAACGGTGACATCAATTCATTTTTCTTTTGGAAGTCGTCTTGCAATGTATTAAATTTGACATTGGGTGTTAATATTTCCACTAGCTTTTCTTTCTCCTTTCTTTTTGTTGCCTTTTGACTGATTGGTCGATGTAACGAAGAAGGTGATGATGGATTGCATTCGTTGCTTGTTGGTGTTGGAGGGTAAGAAGATGGCAAATATGCTCTAGAAGCCGTATTCTTTGTTCTTTTTGTAGAATGTTCTGATGAACCTGAATCCCATTTGGATTCATCTTTCAATAATCTCCATGCACTCTAAAGTGTAAATTTTCCACACTCATCTTGATAATAAATATCATATGTAGTTGAAATGATGTTGCTCTTAGAATTACCACTTTTTTTTTAAATGCATGACTTGCTTATAACACCCAACAAATTTATTAACAGAGGAGTTAATCTTTTTGTGTCATCGACCTTTTAATGTCAATGATTTCCTCTCTTGAAAAATCTAGTCGCGATGCTTATTATAAGCTTCACCAATTCTCTTCTAAAAATTATCTCCTTTTTTATCAACTCTAACAATTGGATCTTTTGAAATGTTGAGCCATAACTAAATGAGAAACTCATCCTCCTTTGGTTGAAACCTTATTTTCTATATATTTACAATTGATGTGGTTCCAATATCTTCATCAAGTTTGATAGTTTCTAAACCATCTTGAATGTAAAATTTTGGTATTTCAGACTCTTGATCTTTTGATTGCACACTACTAGTACCAATATCAACTTCACGAGACATAATGTGATTAGTTGTCTGAGATGAAAATTATTGATATTGATATGGAGAATGTGATGTATGATATGGATAATTTTTCAAGTGTGAATTATTTTGTGGATTTGAATTATGAGATGTATTTTCAATATATGAGGTGTTTTGTAGATTTGAAATATAAGGAAGATTGGCGTTATTTTATATAAAATTGAACCAAGAATTATAGTCATTGGGGTTCAATGCAAAAAAAAAAAAAAGTTTAGATAAAATCTTTTGAAGTATGTAAGTTTAATAAAAAAAATTATTTAAGTACATATAGAAGGAAACGTTATCGTTAAAAAAGAGCTGTTATACATTTTATTTCAAATGTTATCGTTGAATTACAACATAAAAATTTTATTATTTAATATTATTTATTTTTTATCATATTAATAATTTCAAAATTGTGTAGCTCGCTTGTTTTCCTACGGTGCCATGCAAAGCACCGGTTGAAAAATATTGCAACGATAGCACAATAAAAATTCTGAATTCTGTGACAAGGATCAGCAGCTCTTCATTACAAAATAAAGTGGGATCTTGCACAAGTCTCACAAAGTAGTTCAGGTTCACAAACTTGTTTTGGAAGATAACTCAGATCCCAATCAACATGTTCTAATTTTAATTTTTTTTCTTCCAAATAGATAGTATTAAAATATATAAACAACAACAAC